ATAGTGTCGCTAGATGATATTCAGGTTGATGATCGCCTGAATTATGTGGAGAGGCAAGTGGCCGTTCTTGAGAGGAAGGTAAAGGTTCTACAGAACAAGGAATTACCTTTGGTAAAGGTACAGTGGCAGCACCGGAGGGGATCCAAGTGGACGTGGGGGCCAGAGGCTGAGATGCGGGAGCATTACCCCTAGTTGTTTACCGTAACTGACTTCGAGGACAAAGTCTAGTTCAAGTGGGGGAGAATTGTAACATCCCGATTTAAAGTTTTTACTCATGTTCTTAGACCTACTTGACAAGTTCGATGCCCCAACTCGTCGTGTAGAAACGATCCAGACCACGTGCATTTAAGGGGTCTACTCGAAAAGTTGGAGGACCCCAACTTGACGAGTAGGAGCTTGACAATGAAACCCTAATTTCCAGGGTTTTGCACTCTATTTAAAGGGTCATTATCCTCCCTCGGCCTCCTTTACCATCCCCCTTGAGCTCAGAAAACCCTAATTGCATCTACTCTCCATTTGTGTGTGTGTGTGTGTGTTAAGAAGCTTTGAAGGTGGAATTGTGAAGAGAGCTTGAAGTCTAAGAAACTTGGAGCAAATAGAAGCTTGGGGATATGGTTTCTACTTCATCCTAGCATCATCTGGAAGGTAATAAGTCATTATCTTGACTTATCTTTAGGTAGATCCATTTATGCGTGGGTTTAGGGTCATTCTTAGCATATTTATGAATCATTTCGGGTATTGGTCATGATTTGAAGTTGTAACTTCATATATGGACTCCTCTAAGTCCCTAGGTCATAAAGTTATCAGATTTAGCAAGCTTAGGCTTTTTTCTTTGGGTTAAACCTTTCCCTTAAATTTGGTTGGCATCTAGGACCATACATATACGTAAAGTTTGCAAGTTTATGTGGAAATATAGGAGGTTAGATCTGCATTTTGGAGCTTCGGGGCAGCTTAAAAATGTTTTAATAAGAAATTGACTGAAGGGACTCGACGAGTTGCATGGTCAACTCGACGAGGCGGATGAAGATTTGCTGTTGTGGGTTTCTGCATGGACTTGACGAGTTAGTGAGACGACTCGACGAGTCAGTTAGGGTTTTCCCAACATTTGGACACGCATGGACTCGACGAGTTGTCTAGAAACTCGACGAGTCAACTAGGGTTTTTACGATTTCTTAACTTCTAGAAGGACTCGACGAGTCAGTGAGATGCACTCGACGAGTTGGGTCAACATGGACTGTTGAACTTGATTGTTGACTTTGACTTTGACCAAGGGTTGACCAGTTTGACTTCTAGGGGTAATGTAGTAATTTGAGAATTTATGGAAGTGGATCATTGGTGAATATAGGTGTTGGAGTTGGAGTTGTTGTGGAGGAGTTTGACATGATCATTCTGAGCTACTTGTGAGGTGAGTTGTCCTCACTATACTAACAGGGTCGAAGGTACTAATGCTGGCCTTTTTCGGATTTGTATTCAGTTATTGCATGATATGCTTATTGATTTACATCCTAGTAGTTAGGATGGTGATATGCTTAGTGACTTGGTTAGGTCGGTATTTTGCTATATAGGATAATGCTATGTTAGTGACCGGTTAGGTCGGTATCCTTGTGTATAGGATAATGTTATGTTAGTGACCGGTTAGGTCGGTATCCTGGTTATAGGATGTTGCTATGGTTAGTTATATGTTAGAACATCTTGACTGTTATATATATATATTATATATATATATTATATATATATATATATATATATATATATATATATATATATATATGCTAATGTATGATATTAATGTGCACATGATTGTTTGATTGGGGTTGGGTTGAGTCGGACCTGCTTTGTGCAGAAGGCCAACATACCCTGGGCAGACCAGATACACTGTAGGCCCAGGAGGGCATATTAGTCAGCTCGAAGGCCCGACGAGCGATCCAGATAGGCTGAAATTCATGAGAGGCGGTCTGGATAGGATGAAGGTCCCGATGGCTCATTATGCATGTTGTTTGTTTATATGATATGATTATGATTGTATGGCGTTGATATTTTGGGGAAACTCACTAGGCTTCGGGCTTACAGTTATTGATTTTGTTTCAGGTACTTCTGATGATCGCGAGAAGGCGAAGGCTTGATCGTGCACCTCCTTATGTTTTTATGATTTGATTCTGGGATACTCTGACATTAAATCATTTTGAAAACATGTTTGTAATAATTATCAGTTTTTGAATGATTTAAAAAGTTTTAAATTTGCTTGAATTTTATGGATGTTACATAAAAAAAAAATTCACCATTAGTTTTTGTATTCTCCTTGGAGATTCACTAATCTAATAGAAAAGTAAGAAATATGATGTTGTCTCATGGTCTTCTACAAATGTTGAGTATTATGTTATAGCCGTGACTACTTGTGAGATTGTTTATTTGCGTTGGCTTCTTATAGATATAAGTGTTGATGCTTCTCAACCTATACTTTTACATCGTGATAGTAGAAGTGAGATGCAGATTACAAAGAACTATGTTTTTGATGGTCAGACGAAATATACTGAGATTGACTGTCATTTCACTTGTCATTATCTACAACTCAGAAGCATTTTGCTATCATTTGTTCCGTCAACCCTGCACATTGTTCATATTTCCATGAAGGCTCATTCGGTCTCTCAGTTTATCTTATGTCTGAAAAACTCTTAGTGCTTATTGCTCTCGTATTGTGAGTTTGAAGGGGATATTAACATAATAACTTATTAGGTGTTAGCATAGTGATTTATTAGGCTGACTTTTTGCATTAGTCTTTTATTTGGAGTTTTAACTATGGGCGTATTCGGCCAAATTAGATGGTAGCGGGTAATAGATAGCTTGTAGCTTGTAGCGTTTTGTTAAACGCTACATGAAGTTGCATTTGGATTTGGGGCGTTTTGTTCATACTAAACGCTAGAAGCTTGTAGTGTCAAACGGGGTTTTCTGTTCAAAACGGAGCGTTTTGTCAAACGCTAGAAGCTCTCAAACACTCTCAAACGCTCCGTGCTGAACATGCCCTATATATGTTCAACCCTAGTTTGATTTTCTATTTTATATTCTTTTTTTTTTTTTTTCTTTTCTTTGCAATTCAATTTTCCCTCAACAATACCATATACTTTTCCTCTCTATTGTTATCACGTACGATTAACATGCACAACATTAGATTGAAACATATATACTATGAAATATTCGGGTGTTCCTCATGGTTTAACCGCATTTAGCCAAATTTATAACTGAACGTAATCATAACTTAAAGTAGTTTTCCCTTAACTTACTTGCTAAAACAAAGAAAACTTAAAATAAAAAGACTCTAGATTTCACGTAAGTACCATCACCGCCAACAAATCAATACCCTTCGATAAAGTTGATCAAAGTGATGTCACTATAAAATTAGACACTTTTAATCAAAGATTTAAAAACTCCTTATGGCTCTTAGGTTTTGTATTAGCCTCGAGATTTAACAAAATGTTATCTTAAATCATATATGTATCTTAGGTTTTGTATTAGCCTCGAGATTTAACAAAATGTTATCTTAAATCATATATGTATATAATAGTAGAAAATATAAAAATTATTAATTATATACAAAATTATTGTTTTAAGTCACGTCTTACAAATGACGTGATTCGCCACAACTTGAAAAAACTTGAGGTTTGATATTGTTACAAAGTCATGCCTACCTTATTTAAAACATTGTTTTTAATTACTCTAGAACCCCATGTTTTAAAAACTAGACCGAGCATGCCGATTCAACTGGTTCAACAGGGAACCGGTCTCAGATCCAATTCTTAAAGGCGAAAAAACCAAAATTCATGTGAATGGGTAAAAACCAGTCGAACCGGTAAAAACCAGTCCGGTTGAACCAGTAAACTGACCAAACCAGGAATTTTTAAAAAATATTTATTTTATTTTGTTTTTTTTTAAATTTTTATATAAATAAAGTTAATAATAATGTATTATTACATAATCTGATTTTTTCGGTTTTTGAGACCGATCCGACCAGTTGGACTAGTTGAACCATCGAACCAGTAACACGGCCGGTTTCAATCTCCGGTTCGGTTTTCAAAACCAAGAACCTTAAAAACTTCTAGAACATCCAAAATCTAGTTATCTATCTATGAAAGGTGTTGATTACAGAACTTAATAGAAAAATCTAATAATTTTATAAGTGTTAATTATACAAATTAACCAAGTGATGACTTTTCCTCACGTCTTTAAATTAAAGGACAAAAACGGTAATATAATAAAGTAATGCAAAAACTGTTTAGATTTTTTAGCTTAAATATCAAATCATCATGTTCAAAATATAATTCCAAATCCAAAATAAATGTAATAAATCTTTTTGGTGTTATTACATTTGAGAAATCTTTTTTAAGGAAAAAGAAATTTGAAAAAGACAGACTTCGCGGTTTTAAGCAATAGAAGTATATAACCCCCAACAAATTGATTGTCACATTAAAGCAACCCAAAGAAGAACGCTTAAAGTGGCAACTGGAGCTAAAAAACTGAAAGGTGCATAACAAAGAAACCAATACCATTTGTCGCCTTCCTTCCACCCATTCTAACCCCATAACGTGTATACCATGCATACATCATCATAATATCAGCATCTCTCTATCTCTCCAAACCTTCGGTTCCTTCACTCACGGCTGAATCGGTTCTTATCAATAAGAGTTTCATACACATTTCAAGTAATTTTAAGATCACACACATTCTTCTCTCTCATCTTTCTCACGCCCTTGACCTCCATTATTGATTCCTGATGGTTGTTCATGCCCACAAGTAACCTTTTTATTTCAACTTGCACTCTTCAATTCTTACACCAATCTTCATCTTTCCTCTATATAAACTGCCCTCCAACTCCTCAACCTTCATCATCTTCATCAAAACCCCAGCAAAAAACCTGCAACAATTCAAGAAAATGGCAATCAGCAAGTTCGTTCTAGTTTTCCTTTCTTTAGCTTTGGTTTTGGACATTGCCCAAAGCTTCGATTTCCATGAAAAAGAGCTGGAAACGGAGGATAGCTTATGGGATATGTACGAGAGGTGGAGGAGCCACCACAAGGTGGCGGCAAGCCACCAAGAGAAACAGAGAAGGTTCAATGTTTTTAAAGCCAATGCGTTTCATGTTCATGAAACTAACAAGATGGACAAACCTTATAAGTTGAAACTTAACAAGTTTGCAGACATGACTAATCACGAGTTCAAGAGCAAGTTCGCGGGTTCAAAAATTAAGCATCACAGGATGTTGCAAGGGGATCGAATTGGTAACAAGACCTTCATGTATGCTAATGTCGATTCTGTCCCTACTTCGGTTGATTGGAGACAGAAAGGAGCTGTCACTCCTGTCAAGGATCAAGGGCAATGCGGTAAATCTTTAAATATTACCACTTCACTAAAGAGTCAATTCTTTTTCGGGATTTAAAGTTTTGATCTGTTTGTATGTTACAGGAAGTTGTTGGGCGTTTTCAACCGTTGTGGCAGTTGAAGGAATAAATTACATCAAAACAAAGGAGTTAGTGTCGTTATCTGAGCAAGAGCTTGTCGATTGTGACACTAAAGAAAACCAAGGGTGTAACGGAGGGTTAATGGACTTGGCGTTTGACTACATAAAAAAGATCGGAGGTCTAACTAAAGAGGATAACTACCCTTACATGGCCCTAGATGGGAGGTGTAATTCTAAAAAGGTAAGAAAAAAAAAATTAACCTATGATCACTAAAAAAGATGAGAATCCATGTAGACTCTTTCATATTTTAATTTTTCTTGACAGGAGAATACTCCGGTGGTGTCGATTGATGGACATGAAGATGTTCCAAAAAACAATGAGAAAGCACTAATGAAAGCAGTAGCCAACCAACCTGTTTCTGTTGCCATTGATGCTGGTGAACAAGATTTCCAATTCTATTCGGAGGTAAAAATATGAGCAAAACAACATAAACATGTTCTTGATGCTTGAAAGAACATAATTCATTTATTATATTGAATTTTAAAAAATTGTGTCTTTATGAAAGAATCCTTTAAACTTGAAAGAACATATTTTCGTCAAAGAATCGAAATATAAAGAGTAGTTTTTTCATGCACAAATTCTTTAATCAAAGAATCACAAAGTAAGATTGGGTTTTTATCAACAGATTTTTGAAAGGTAAAAGAACATATATTAATTAATATATGGTGTTTGGATAGGAAAAAAACAGGTGCTTATTTTTTATTCTTTATCCCTACCTCAGTAGCTAAGTTTAAATGTTTGAATATTAATCCTTTAAAATCAGCTTATTATGGTAGGGATTAGTTAAAATAAGTTGATTTTAATAAGCATCCCGCTCTTGCTTATTATTTATTGCTTATTCCCACCGCAAATAAGCTAATAGGGTATAATTTAATTTATCAAAACACCCCTAAGCAAAGATTTGAAATGTTAAGATGGGGTTTCCGATTTCTTTATACACATATTCTTGTTAAAGATTGAAAGAAGTATATAATTTTTTTTTTGTGATGATGTAACAGGGAGTTTTTACCGGAAAGTGTGGAACAGAGTTGGATCATGGGGTGGCAGCGGTGGGATATGGTATAACTCTAGATGGAACCAAATATTGGATAGTGAAGAACTCATGGGGAGCAGAATGGGGAGAGAAGGGATACATTAGGATGCAAAGAGGAATCTCTGATAAGAGAGGACTTTGTGGCATAGCAATGGAGGCCTCTTATCCTATTAAGAAATCTGCTAATAATCCCACGTCGTTTACTACATCATCCCCCAAAGATGAACTCTAGGTTACACATATTCACACGCATACACACACTATTAGTCAACTCTATATTAGCATTTTTAAATTGATGTCCAACATATCACACATGTCTTTATTGTTACCAATAAAAATATACATTTGATTGAAACATAGTTTTATGGAGAAAGGATTGTACTTTTTATAGTAATCTCAAAATCAGGCTTGGGCCTAATTTTGTGTGGAGTCCATTGGCACAAGGAGCATGTAATTGGACAAAATAACCTAGAACTAGAATCAAAAAATTGAGAATTAAACAATATGGTAGTTAAATTCGGCCCCATAGTCAAAGTATCAAAACCGTGAGATTTGAAAATTTTCCTTGTGGACTAGCTACACGACTTAGTTTAATACTTAAACCAACGAGGTTATTTCACCGATGTAAATAAAAAACGAGGTCCAGACAACCAGACAAGGTAAGGAGATCGAGTGGATTTTTTTTTTCTTTTTCTTTTGTTATAATTAAAGCATAGAAAGTCCATAATGATGAGTTTTATGGTAGAGTTGAATAAATGGCAAAACCAGTTGTTATTCAATTGATCAAACTTACCATTGTGAGATTTCAGACATGTTTAACATGGAGTTTTTGAAAGCTTTTAGTTTCTAGCGTTTGACAAAAAACTTCGTTTTGAACAAAAAACCTCATTTGATACTATATATTTTTAGCGTTTAGTTAAAACAAAATGTTACAAATTTAAAAGCTATCTCATATAACGTTTAACAAAACGCTAGCCTAAAATATCATTCATCTTGGCATTTAATAAAATTTATTAATAATGAATTTTTTTAAGTCGTAAGTAAATACTACAAATTAAATTCTATAATGTTTTGTTAAAATATGTATATATATATATATATATATATATATATATATATAATATATATATATATATTATATATATATATATTATATATATATATATATATATATATATATATATATATATATATATATGATAGAATTGTATATAGAAAAATGATATGGATACCTTTAGTGTATTTGCTCTCATCTAATTTGTTATAATTACGCATAAGTTCTAAAGCTTTCCCCACGTTATGTAACACTCATATAATGTTCATCAAACATGTATCAACTAAAACTTATTTACACAAGTTCTAAAGCTTTCCCCACGTTATGTAACACTCATATAATGTTCATAAGTAGTATTCAAGTATGGCAAACACTTGGTTCAAATGTATTACATTCAATTTTTTTATGTGTCCCACAAATTAACTAAATAGAAATGTACTTTGGGTTTCATCCCTTTTCTTGTAATAACACATTTGCTCCACATCGTTCTTATTGTAAAACATAACATTACTCATATAATGTATTCAAGTAACATTCCAAATCATATGCTAATGATCCATGGGCTTTTTTTTTTTGGAAATAGTAATATACTTTGCATTTTTGTCCCAATTCTCACATAGACATTTGTTTGGTAACACCATTTCCACTCTAAGATATATTATAACATGGTCACACATTATCATCAGTCTAACTTAACATTTAAAAAATATTATGACGATAATTACAAATTCCTCACAATTGTCATCATTTCTGTAAAATCGTATCCTTTATCATTCTATAAATGTGGCTTACTATTCATAAGAATTACAGTTGTCTTTTAACAAAAAGTTTAGGATATTAAATTAACCATCGAACATGGACGTTTTTTTTGTCTCCAGAATGATAATTAATCACCTTTGTTGGTAATTTGATCTACCTTTTCTTGACTTTATTTGGAAACTTGGAAGATATTTTAAAAACAAAAACACTTTGAATGAAAGTTCGTAAGTCGAAAATGATAAGGAGTATGTTAAGCATATAAATCAATTTATAGACATGGATCTCGCAATTTCTTATCGAGGATATTTCTCGACAATATAGTTAAGTGTGGTTTAAGGGATATCTAACATAATTAATGTCATGAGTATTACAATTGGGGATGGTGAGGAGTTTGTTAAACACATGAATCAATTTATAGACTTGGTTCTCACAAACGTATAACATGCACGAAATTTCACGTACTGTTTGGGTTGGTTTAAAATATTTGACATGAATTAATATTACGAGCGTAATGAATCTCATGAATTATTCGTAGATTTTTTGTTAGAAAAACTCGTTACATTGTGAGATAATTTATAAAGTTTGGTTCACAAACTTAGGGTTGATTTTAATAGTTATTGGAAATATGGTCATGAGCCGATTAGAAGTCCAAATATGATCATTTTAGTGAGTAGATTTTTAATTGATCATCATCATCATCCAATGTTTATAGAACATCCAAGATCTAATTATCCATCCATTCTCCTAGGTGTCGATGTCAATAGCATATATGAAATTAAAAAAATGATCTTTTGGGTAATTTCATACACTGTTAAATACAAGTCAACCAATTGATACCTAACCACATCAAAAAAATGATGTAATTTAGCAATGTGCATTATATATAGTTGATGTAAAAACTTTCTTATATGTATACTTTTATATATTATCATTGTTTTAAATCCAGAATTGTATCTAAATCTTTTTGGTGGCATTACATTTGAGAATTCTTTTTTAAGGAAAACAAGAATTTCACAAATTGAAAATTCCGGTTTTAAGCAATTAAAGTAATCCCAGCAAATTGATTGAAACATATAAGCAACCTAAAAGAACGCTAAAATTAGCAAATGCAACTAGAAAACTGAAAGGTGCACAACAAAAAGACCAATACAATTTGTCGCCTTCCTCACAATTCCATAGCGTGTATACCATGCATACATCACCATAATATCAACCCTATCCTCCAAAACCTTTGTTCCTCCACTCACAACATGAATCAGTTGTCATTAGAATACTTTGATATACATTTCAAGTAATTTTAACATCACACACATTCTTCTCTCTCATCTTTCTCTCTCTACACCTCCATTATTGATTCCCGATGGTTGTTCATGCCCATAAGTAACGTTTTCATTTCAACATGCACTCTTTGGAACCACTCTTCATCTTTCCTCTATATAAACCACCCTCCAACTCCCAAACTTTCATCATCATCACCATTATCAAAAACCCTAACAAAAAAACATGTCCATCACCAAGTTTCTTTTGGTTTCTTTTTCTTTATCTTTGGTTTTAGGCATTGCATGGAGCTTTGATTTCCACGAAAAAGAGCTTGAAACGGAGGATAGTTTATGGGATATGTATGAGCGGTGGAGGAGCCACCACAAGGTGGCGGCAAACCACCACGAGAAGGAGAGGCGGTTCAACGTGTTTAAAGCCAACGCGTTTCATGTTCATGAAACTAACAATATGGACAAGCCTTATAAGTTGAAGCTTAACAAGTTTGCAGACTTGACTAACCATGAGTTCAAGACCATGTTTGCGGGTTCAAAAGTGAAGCATCACAGGATGTTGCAAGGGGATCGAATTGGCAACAAGACGTTCATGTATGCTAATGTCGATTCTGTCCCTACTTCAGTTGATTGGAGAAAGAAAGGGGCTGTCACCCCGGTCAAGGATCAAGGGCAATGCGGTAAATCATTAAATATTACCACTTCACTAAAGAGTCGAATTCTTTTTCGGGATTTAAAGTTTTGATATGTTTGTGTGTTACAGGAAGTTGTTGGGCGTTTTCAACCATTGTGGCAGTTGAAGGAATAAATTACATCAAAACAAAGGAGTTAGTGTCGTTATCTGAGCAAGAGCTTGTCGATTGTGACACTAAAGAAAACCAAGGGTGTAACGGAGGGTTAATGGACTTGGCGTTTGACTACATAAAAAAGATCGGAGGTCTAACTAAAGAGGATAACTACCCTTACATGGCCTTAGACGGGAAGTGTGATCCTAAAAAGGTAAAACATTTCTAACAAGATATATACTGGTTGTGGGACCGGTTGATGACTTTCTTGTTCTATGGCCATTGTGATTTACCTCTTTCATATTGGCAGTGGGACCATTGGTGTGGAGTTTCCCATATTTTAAGTTTTGAAAATAAAATTAAAGCGGTTTCTTAAAGTTTTGAATTTTTGTTTTTTTGACAGAAGAATGCTCCGGTGGTATCAATCGATGGGCATGAGGATGTACCAAAAAACAATGAGAAAGCACTAATGAAAGCAGTAGCCAACCAGCCTGTTTCTGTTGCCATTGATGCTGGTGAACAAGATTTCCAATTCTATTCGGAGGTAAAAACTTGAAAAAAACAACATAAACATGTTTCTTGATGCTTGAAAGAACATATTTTAATCAAATATAGTAAAGGTCTTTATGAATAAATCCTTGGAAGTTGAAAGAATATATTTTGGTAAAAGAATCGAAATGTAAAGATGGGATTTTCATGCACATATTCGTGAAACCTGAAACATCAGAAATCAATTTGAGAATCCAAACGTAAAATTACAAATTCTTATACAACTTTAAGGAGCATATATCAATCAAAGAACTAAAAGATAAAGATAGGGTTTCATTATACCCGCACACATTCTTGAAACTTAAAGAACATAAATCAATCAAAAACTGAAAACCGAAAGTAAAGATTGCTTTTTTTTTTTTGTGTGTGTGTGTGTGTGTGTGTGTGTGATGTTACAGGGAGTTTTTACGGGAAAGTGTGGAACAGAGTTGGATCACGGGGTGGCAGCCGTGGGATACGGGACAACTCTAGATGGAACCAAATATTGGATAGTGAAGAACTCATGGGGAGCAGAATGGGGAGAGAAGGGATACATTAGGATGCAAAGAGGAATATCTGATAAAAGAGGACTTTGTGGCATAGCAATGGAGGCCTCTTATCCTATCAAGAAATCTTCTAACAACCCCACATCATCCACCAAAGATGAACTCTAAATTACACAAATTCTCACACACATACACTACTAATTATACCTTTTCTTCATTAAAGATTATAGAATTATCTTCGATGTAATGATAGCACTTTTATGGCATAAGATCATCGAATAAAGATTTATATTCCAAAATCCACAATTTCAATAGCATAAGCATAGATGTTTAACAATTATTGAACAAACAGACACGATTGTACATTTGAAAGCAAATAAAGACGATCAACATATGTCCTTTTTATTAGTCTGAGTTTCTGTAAAAACATACTTTGTCATCCGTAGCACCTGATGGGGTCGTTGCATCCCTTTCTAGCACTCTGTTTAGATCCTGAAAGTTCACCCTTTTCGAGGTATTGTTGGTGGTACTCCTCCGCTCTGTAGAAAGTTTTGGCCGGAAGAATTTCTGTCACAATTTTGTTCTTCAAAGACTTTTGCTTTTCATCCAACGATTCTTTCGCTAAACGAGCCTGTTCCTCACTGTAGTAGTATATCCCTGATCGATATTGGGTACCTGCATCACCACCCTAGAACAAGAACACATTATCGAGTTCTTAGTAACAATCGGAACTTGAAATCAAGAATTTGAGTATTCTGTAATTGAAATTATGAATCATGAAAAGAGATGTATACCTGACGATTGAGGGTGGTAGGATCATGGCGGGACCAAAAGAGGGAGAGCAGATTGGTGTATGGACAAACAGACGGGTCGAATTCAACCCGGACAACTTCAGTGTGATTGGTGGTTCCGGTGCAGACCAATCGGTAACTAGGGTTATGGACGTCACCTTGAGAGTAGCCGACTTCTGTTTTCACGACTCCCTCGAGGCGTTGGAAGGCTAGCTCCACACCCCAGAAGCATCCAGCTCCGAATTCGGCCAATTCGTGACCTGGTTTTCCCGGAGAATCCGTATCCGGGTCCAGTGCAGGATTCTTGATTTCATCGGAAGCCATTTCTTTTTTTCTTGTGTAAGTCGATGTAGGAACTAGGAAGTAGACGGAGATGCCGGTTGCGCTATCTACAGCAAAGGCCGAAATTGGTCAATGGTCAATGGTCAACTCGTTAATGAATTTCCAAAAGCATCCTCAAACTATTTTGAACTTTCATTTTTAGTCATATTATGAAAAGTAAACTACAGAAATGGTCTCTGTGGTTTGTTTAAATTTGCATTTTTGGTCCCTGATCGAAAAAATTGATAGTTTGCATATCTGTGGTTTGGAGAAATTACACTATTGGTGTGACAACCGTTAATTATGGGTCAAACAAAGTCAACAAATCAACCAAATCAATACGATTAGTATTAAGATTTTAGGATAAACGTTATGTTTCATAATGTACAAACTTACAATTTTAATACAAAGTATCTCTCTAGATTGCCAATTAGCAAATATAAACCCTAATTAGGGTTAGTAACGTAACAACTCGATAATTCAGCTATATATTATTTGGAAATAAATAATATTCGTAACACAAATGTAGTGGAGTTCATAAACCTAACACTACGTGACAAATTCAAAACAAATGCTACAAACACAACTTTTTGGTGAATTCGTCACCAAATACGACATAATCTATACCCGTCTAAACACTAAAACTTAACGAAATAAACTTGAAAATTTAACCTAACTATTCATTAACGTATTATTATTTGATAACAGTGTTTGTTATAATAATTCGAATTTTTATAATTTAAATTAAATTTTTTATACATCATATATACCCTAATTTCTTTATAAAAACCCCCACAATTTTATAAAAATGCTAGGATTTATAAAAGTTCGACTTTTATTATCTATAAAAATCACTAGTAATTAGATGGTACTTCCATATTAATGAGCCAACTACTAAGCCTAAATAGCACCACCTTTAACTCTCACCCATGTTCCCCTTATCACCCCCCATAAGCCACCTTACCCACTCCACCCCTCCCCCTCTCTTTTTAAGGTGCGGCCGAGAGCACCCTAACCACCACCATCTTCATCATTTTCACTATTCCTCTCCAAGGTTAAGCTCTCACCTTCAAACCCCAATTTCTTCCAAGTGTTCTTGAAGTTCTGGTAAGTACTTTCTTCATCTCCTTGTGATTATATACACTTTTATACTAGTTTCAATCCATTTACACACATTTCATGTGTTACTATTCATAGGATATTCAAATCTTCAAAGTGTTATTGACTTGAAACTTTCCATCTACAACCTTTCATTCATCAAGAAAAGTGAGTTCATACCCCTTCATTTTCGAGATTTCTAAGTTTTAGGGGGATAATACAAGTAAAACACAAGTAAACTTGTGTCAATATACAAGTTATGCATGTTTTCTTACTTATTGTGTAAAAGTGCTAAATGCATGAAATGATGTTATTACCAAGTTTTATGAACTTTTAGATGCAAAAGTTTGTTTAACATACAAACTATGGAAAACAAGTATAAACATGCTATATGTTCTTATGAAAAAGTCATAAACACAAAACCATAAAAACTAGGGTTCTTATTTAACACAATATGATTAATCTAGCAAAAAATGATTATAACCAAGTTATTACACCATTTTTGTGAGATCTAAACTAAAATATGTTATTTTAGATATATGTCTTGAAACTAGTCAAAAATACAAAAGTTTTAGTTTTACAAAAAGAAAACTTCAAAATCTATCATTTTATACAAAAATGAGTTTTTCTAAAAAAAAGGTCATAACTAGGTTATGGCACCATTATTGTAGGTTTTGACCAAAAATATGTTGTTTAAAACATATAAAATTATCTCGACCTAAAAATCACAAAAAGGTAAAAATAAGTTTTACGTAACTATATTTAACTATTTCAAAAACTAGAAAATTTGACATTTTCATACTAAGGACCCACTTATTTGGGCTAGATGTAAAATACTTGTTATTTATGAATATCTAAGTATACTAGCCTCTATATATGTATGCATATGTATATATGGGTACAAAAATCAAATATTATAAAAAACTATAATTATATGTATATATCTTTATATAATTATCCACTTTGCTCAACATGTTACAAAAGTGTTAATGATCCATAAACTATACTTATATAGTTTATGGATCATTAACACTTTTGTAACATGTTGAGAAAAGTGGATAATTATATAAGATATATACATATAATTATTTTATACTATTTTATTATCATGGAAATGTGATAATTACACATACAAAGGTTTTTATTACAACAAAACGTAAACTCGTTGAATCAATTTTTGTGAGTCTAAGTCTTCACCGTACCTACCAAAGTACCTACAAAAGTCTTGTATTATAACCATAATCTACCATAAGAAAGCGTGATACTTGTGTATAGATCTATACGGGACTGAAAATCTCACGCCTAAGCTGCTTGCAACAACTAGACCGACAGATCTGGGGTGACAAATGTCATAGCATTCTGAGGCCTGAAGAGTGTCGTAACAGGCCATCTATGTCATTAGCACAGTTATAATAACTCACATAGGGAAACAACGATATATTTAGTTTGTGGGGAAAACATACATTCAAATGGTTTTATATAAAATAAAGCTACATATTACTATTATAAGTATGGAAATACTTGTACATTTTAGTCTTAGGGTTTCTAAGAGTACAATTTGTTTAAAGGAAACTATTAGATTTTCTGGAAACAAACACTATCATTTTACAAAGAAAGGCTTACAATTCTTCATACAAACTCTTATGAATTCACCAATTTAATTGTTGACACTTTTTCAAAACTACTTGTATTCTCAGGGAATACTAAAACATATAACTACAAGCTTTTAAGGATGGGACGCTTAGGCTTCAGACAAATCATTTTATCATCATATTTTAATTGATTTTGAAATAATTCTATTTATAATGGTAGTGTTTGCTTTTAAGTGGTCTACTCGACGATTCGGGGGAATGACTTGACGAGTAGGTGCTGGTTGAGTGAAACCCTAAATTTGAGGGTTTGCACCCTATTTATACACCTTATCTCAGCCTCCATCGTCCGTTATGCTCCCAGAAGACGTCATATCAAAAGCCTAGTTGTTCTTATTGTATTTTTTGAGCCTTGTGGTGCTACCTCTTGTGTTTGAAGCTTGGAAAGGAGAATGAGACCTGTGAGGCCAAGGGGAAACAAGAAGATCCAGAGTTTGGAGCTCATTTTTCAGCTTATTGGAGGTATGAAGTTGAACCTTTGTCTACAGATCTTGATTTTAGGCCTTTTCCTACATCTTTCTAAGCCCTAGAAGGGTGATATTCGAATTTTAGTGTTGGAAGTCATTGTATGTATTAGATCCAGGTTTATTGGGGGATTTTATGGCACAAAGGTGCCCATTTTGCTGCCATAAACACCCCATGCACCTTGGAGGCCATCTTTTATGGCTTTTTGGGCGAAAGGCCCCTTGCATGTGTACCAAGTTTGGAACTTTACGTATAAAATGGACATTAGGAGGCCAGATCTATAGTTTTGATGTTGTTAAGACCCATTTAAATCAACTGTATAATAATGGTCAAGGATGGACTCGCCGAGTTGTTCTTGGGACTCGGCGAGTCGCAGTGTAATGACCACCAAATCCACTCTGTGTTTGGACCAGTTGTTAGGGAGGGAAGTCCAGTAGATGTTTAGACGCGTGAAAGAACCTGAGAATCATGGGGATCGACGAGTGTATGAACAGACTCGGTGAGTCCAAGGCAATCTCCCAACCTTTGAAGATTGACTCGACGAGTTGTTCATACAACTCAGCAAGTCGTAGTCTAGACATGTTCTTATGAGGGAGATGAACTCGCCGAGTTCAAGGAAGAACTCGGCGAGTTGGATGAAGATGGTCCCAATAGTATGAAGGAAGAAGAACTCGTTGAGTTCTTGCTAGACTCGATGAGCGGAGTCGGGGTTGCATCGGGTTAGTGGGATATGGACTCCGCGAGTTGGCGGACCAACTCGGCGAGTCGGGTCAACTGAATGTTGACTTTAATTGGTTATGGTATTGACCCTGGTTAGGGTTGCTTGTTCTGTTTGATGACTTGAGGATTGTCGTGTAGGGATTAAGGAGTCGAGGAGAGCTGACCTTCACGTCGAGGACATATCAGATACTACACGACATTGAGGTGAGTTACCTTCCAGAAGAAGTGGGTGTAACGCCTCGATTCTCAGGTATGGTTTTAAGTAAGGATCTCCTTGGTTTTAAGTCCTACTCGACAAGTTAAGGGTGCCATACTCGTCGAGTAGCAGCGAGGTGGGATCGCACATTTAGTGACCTACTCGCCGAGTCCATAAAGGGACTCGACGAGTAGGAGATAGCAGATGAAACCCTAAATCCCGGGGTTCTGCACTCTATTTAAGGAGGCATAAGCCTCATTTGGCCTCCTTGTAGTCCTTGGGAGCTCATAGAAACCCTAACCTGTGTGTTGTGTCATTCTAGTGCATAGTAAGCTTGGAAGGAAGATTTTGTGGGAGAAAGAACTTAGAGAACAAGTCGATAGGAGCAAGGAAGGAGTGGAAATCCGAAATCTACCTCACTTAGCAATCATTGAAGGTATCAAGTCAACATATTTATTTCATTTCCTTCTAGATCTCATGTGGTGGAGATCTAGGGTTTTTATGGTTTGAATAAGGTGATATTGCAAGACATGAGCTAGATCTGAAGTTGTAACTTTAGATCTGGACATTTCCCAAGTTCTAGAGTCATAAAGTTCCTGTCTTGGTTGTGTTTGAGGCCCCCCTTGTGCATGAAACCCCATTAAGAGCTTAGATTTGGCATTAAGAACCTTTTTAGCCATGCATGCACGTAAAGTTTGCAACTTTACGTGAAAGGCATGCCCTGGTAGCTTGGATCTGTAATTTAGAGCCATTGCATGGCTTAAATGAGTCTGTATGGATTAAGGAGTAAAGTAACTCGACGAGTCGCAAGGTCGACTCGGCGAGTCACATGAAGATGGTCGAGAACTCGACGAGTTGGATGAACAACTCGGCGAGTCCGATGAAGATTGCCATGAGACTCGACGAGTGGAAGAACAACTCGGCGAGTTGGATGAGTTTTCTCCAGGATATGTATGCGTGTGTATCTT